TTAAAAGCTACATAACCTGAATGTCAAATTCATTGTTATTTAATCAGGAAAATTAGACTCCTGGAATACTTACACAAAAGTGACACAACTTGGCACAGTAGACCGTAGAAGAATTATATAAAACTGACAATGATTGACCTGCAACTGTTCAATAATTTAACAGCAATTTTTTGCCTATTAAGTGATGCATATTAGTTGCAAACGGCTGTATCTTAACTTGTCAAATGAAAGACAGAAAACCTGATGTAATGGAGAGCATTGGTGCAGTCACTGGCAAGCAAATTAAGTTGTAAGAAAATTTACAGAAAATTGACAGATGTATAGTTCTAGATCATATCAAATTAAAAACCTTTCTTTCATGTACAGTTTTTTCACTCCTTCCTTATTTCCATGGTTCCAGTTAATGATTTTCGGAAAGTGAGTCTTCAAATGTTGTTTGATCACCATGAGGAGCTGTCCAGAGGTCGAGCTATTGGAAGAGTGGAGTTCCTTCCGGTACAGTGGCATTCCAGACTTCACAACGACTCAACTGGAGTAGATGAGTAAGTGTGTTAGAGTGTTTGTTTTCACTGGGTGAATGGAAATTGATTGACATTTTATAAGCGTTTAGTCAAGACTTATTTATTTTCCAAGGCCTTTAGTTGAGTTTCTAAGCTTAATTTTTAAATTTATAATAGGATTTTAGGTTGTAATTCTTAAGATTAGATGTTTTGATTATATTTGTAGAAAAAGTGCAATATAAGTATTAAATATTGTTGTTGTTATTATTATTATTATCATCATCATTATTATAATTATTATTATTATTATTATTATTATTATTATTATTATTATTGGAAGTACAGTGGAAGAACTGGAGTGTTCAAGAAAGTTCTATGTACATGTAGCCAGGAAAATTGTTGTTTATGAACTTAGATCTGCAATAAATTTCTTTTTCTCTACAGGAGACTTCAGTCCATCTCTTTGAGTAGCATACGCCGTCTAAGAGAGTTTACAAACAGCACTCTTCTTGATATTCTGTTTTACACAAGTCCTACATATTGTCAAGTGAGTTGCATCAATTCTGAAATTTTGTGAGACAGTTAACAGTAAACAGTGAGACACTTAACACTTCAAAGTTCTGATAGCGTACAATGCTTGCTGGCTTTATTCATGACTAATGGCAGTAAAAATCTAAAGGTTTGGCTTGAAGTTGGAAATGCAAGGAAACCGTCATTAATACAAGTGAAAGGGGAAATTCGTACCCATGTGATAGCATGTGATTTACACCCTTTTAGTACCAAGATTGATGGAAATCTAATTTTTTCTCACAATATGAATACATAATCAAGGAGAATGGAGATGAGAATAAAGTAAATCATCAATAAGGGAATATTGTGTTGGTGTATTACCAAACTCTCTGAACCTAAATTACAAGGAATGTGCGAGAATAAGCACTTAAATAATATAAGAGAATTACTGGTTTGATTTGGATCTGTTTTACTTTCCACAGAACATTGTCAACACAGTAGGTGAGGACATAGAGCGACTGCTGGAAATCTTCAAGAAAAGGAATCCTATGTTTAGTGGAAAATATTCAGTGTGCGGACACAGTTTAGGTAACGCAGCAAATTCCCAACTTTGACAAGATAATTGAGAGGCAAAAGCGCGATTTTATAGCTTCTTTATTTCTCGCGAGAATACTTCTCACAAGCAGGAGAGATCCACGCGAGGTACACACGCGCGTACTTCCTCGAAACAATGCTGTGTGAGTCTTCCTTTTTTGTTTAAGAGACTAACTTGAAAGTGCGAACAAACATGGCGCTTTGAATGTTTTTCGACTGAGTTGATATTGTTGTTCTGTTTGAGATAGAAAAGTAACACGAATAAAGCGGGCATCATATAATTCTCTTTATTTTCCTTGCAGGTTCTAGTATCCTGTTTGATATTCTTCAGCATCAGGTATTTGAGTGTACTTGAGCATTTGATTTTTTGTGGTGTTTTTTCCTTTGACGAAATGGTCGTTCATTTTGGTGGACAACGTATTTGATTTTGTTTGAAGTACTAAGCCACTCTCATGGAAAAAGATTGTTAAGATGAGCAATTGGTGCAGTACGTTATGATTGTCATGTCAAATATTAGTCTTTTCCTTGTTTTCTTTTTGTAACTCAGAAAGTTCAGCGTGGCCAGC